AAAGTAATGTTAATATATTACCACTAGAGGGCATCAATGCATTTTCTATTGTAAATCTATTCTATTCTATTGTAAATCCTTTTCTGTAAGTGGCACATATTAGTTTTGGCTATTATTATTAATATTATTATTTATGAAGTGACAACAAATTCCACAGCGTTGTACAATAGGTGGACTCGGGGCAGGATTTGCCACAAGGCCATGGCCTCGGGGCGGCAGGCAGAAGAGGTACCGGCCAGCCCATGCTGTGTGGCTGAGGCAGACAGAGGAGATTTCCCCGGGTCGGCCACTGCAGGGCCAGCGCTAAATAAAGAAGGGAGGCTTTCCCTTGCCTGTATTATATCGGAGCGTTGCTGTGAGTTACTGCCTTTCATATTTTTGTTCATGGACTCATGGTGGTAGGGCACAGAGCTTACATTTAACGTCCGCAAATATAAAAATCTATCTATATAATCTAGCACTATTATTTAAAAGGGTTCAACGACAGTTCCTATGGAATACAGACCAGGTGGCCCTGCTGTTTTTACAGTTTTAGAGCTCAATGTGTGCTATTAATTCATTGCCTGTTGATTTTAAATGTATATTTGCTGAAGATTTCAAGATACAGTTTCTGGAATTATTACTGATGTAGTAGAATAGGCAGAGGGCCAAGGATGGACACCTCTGCTTTAAAATTTATCTGGATATTTATATAAAATAATAATTAATAGTACCCAACTAGATACTTGATCTCACTGACCTAGGTCCTCTTTCTTTATGTGCACTTTGTCTTCCCTTCATGTCTGATCCTTAAAGGAACATTATAGAGTCAGGAACACAAACATAATTCTTGACCCAATAGTGTTAAAACCCCCATCTAGCCACCCTGGTCCCCCGTTGCCTCCCTAAATATAGTAAAATCTTACTTGTATTCAAGTCTGCACCTGCTGCCTATACCTTTGATTGGGTGACATCACCAGATGTTATTCTCTGAACCAATCACAATGCTTTCCCATAGGATTGGCTGAGACTGTCAAGGAGGCAAATCAGGGGAAGAGCCAGCTCTGGCCAATCAGCATCTCCTCATAGAGATACATTAAATCAATAAATCTATCTGAGGAAAGTTCAGTGTCTGCATGCAGAGAATGGATACATTGAATGTCAGTCATTTTGTGCAGCACTGCCCCCAGCACCTTTAGCAGCCATCTGATGAGTGGCCAAGGAAGTTATTCCTAGGCTGTAATGTAAACACTCAATTTTCTTTGAAAAGACAGTGTTTACTGCAAAAAGCCTGAAGGGAATAATTCTACTCACCAGAATAAATACAATAAGCTGTAGTTGTTCTGGTGACTATAGTGTCCCTTTAGAGCGCAGGAAATGTTAACAACAACTTAACAGCTTTAAGTTGGGAAAAGGGATCACTGATTTCACGTACTTGCACGGGAGAACCAGCAATCAGACATTGTCATGATGACACAATATTAATACTAATGTTTACAATTTAAACTAATAAGAGCCTTTCAACCTTTCAATTCCTTTTGGAGACTCAATATATGGACTCAATATTCACAGACATAACAACGTTTTATGATGTCAAAATAAGGGGACAAATGTATGCACCAAAACCACTTAATTAAGATGAAGTGGTTATGGTGCTTCCAGTGTCTCTTTAAAAACATAGCTTGTCAGATAACACATATAACACGTGAGTTATCCACAAAGAAATGATTCAGAAATGATCCAGAAAGGCAGTTTAGAGAATCTGATTGGCCGGGCTGTCTTAGCCGCACACATATTTTTCATCCTTACACACAATCAGAAAGTATTATTTTTGTGTGTGTTTTCATTTTACTTTGCAACTATGTGCTTGCTGGCAGCTCCGTGCCGTCTATATAATTGCTTATTTCTTTTTTTCTGTAATTTTTAAGCTGCTCAATGGCTGTTTCTCAATTGCAGACTTTTCCAAATCTTATATCAAGAAGCAATACTGGACATGACATCTGATCATAATCTAGCAGATTTAAACATTGGTTTAAATAAGTTATCCCCTCCATACATGGAGTTGTATGCATAGTTCAGGGATATAAAGGTTTAAACTCTCTGACATTTTAAAACTGAGTTCTATTTAAAAGCTAATTGAAGCTTTATATCTTAGCAAATAGCCCCTTAGAATGAAGTAGCATTTTAAGAGTGGTTAGATAATGTGAAATCCGAACCTGTATACAGATCAAAGTCTATGAAGGACTATACGTACCAAGCCATAGGATAGAATCATGCACAGGTTAATATTTTCTTTTCTTTTACAGAGCGGAGATGACAATTTGGATAAATCCTTTGGCTACGGATGGAAAAAAGCCTAACCAGAGCAAACTAATTTGAATCGGGCAAGCGTCCTTGCATGTTGTATGTAAATAAATACTCCCTATTTTTGAATATGACAGCCAACGCAGACTGTAATCCCGAGGTGCATCCTTCCTGTGAAAAAAATAAATAAATGTTTTTTTCCTGTTTTAACTTTGAAATATGTTGAAGGTCACTTCAGGCAGAATAGAGATTGCTAAAGATATTGCCGGCTCAAACATTTTGTTTATTAAATATTTGGTGCAGCAATAGAGTTGATGGATAAATAAATTTACTGCACTAATAAAATAAAATCCTTTTTAAACTTTACTAGAGACATGGAGAGATTGTCAGCTGACCAGCCTTTTGACATATTGGGTTTTTAATCAATGGTAAATTTAAATAATATCAGTGATTTCTGACAAACTCCGTACCTAGAAGTGTCAAAGAATGACTTAAAGGAACACTATTGGGTCAGGAACACAAACATGTATTACTGACCCTATAGTGTTAAAACCACCATTTAGGTGGCTTGGCCCCCCTTAGTCCCCTTAAAAACAATTAAAACTCACTTTATTTCCAGCGGTGTGTGGGTCCATCAACAATGACCCTGCCCCCTTGGTGACAATCAGAATTAGGAAAGCATTGGATTGGCTAAAATCGACAAGGGGGTGGGGCCAAACACCATTTTGGCACCTCCTCATAGAGAGGCATTGAATCAATGCATCTCTAAGAGGAAAATTCAGCGTCCCCATGCAGAGTGTGGAGACCCTGAACGGCACTGCTGCCTACTGTGCAGCACTGCCCCAGGAAGCACCTCCAGTGGCCATCTGAGGAGTGGCCACTTGGAGGTGTTCCTAGGGGCAATGCAAACACTGCCTTTTCTATGAATATAATGATTATATTACATTTACAAGCTATAGTTGTTCTGGTGACTATAGTGGCCCTTTAAATAAATCATTTTAAGGGAATATAATAAAGAATAGTGACTATTGCACACGTATATGTTTATTGCCCTCGGTCTAGCGGTTATAAATGATTTCTGATATTTGCCCATATTTTTTGTTTAGGTATTTTCATTGAACATCAATTGTCCTAAATAACGTTGTCTGTGTACAGTGCCTTGCATGCGTATTCACCATTGTTACTGTGAACGTCTTGCTTTGCTGTGACCATTTCTCTTCAGAAGTCACATAATTGTTTGAGAATCTCAAAATAAATACACATTCTTCCAGGAGGCTCCAGAGATTGTCAAAGAACATATCTAAACAAACAGCATCGTGAAGACCAAGGAGAAAATAAAGAAAATAGATTTCTGGAGAAGCATTAATCAGAGTTGGGGTATAAAATAATATTCTTAACTTTGAACATCTTTAATGAATGCCATCATTGTCTACCACAGCGGTTCTCATATGATTATAGCACCGGGGAAACGTTACTGCTGAACAGGGGCGGGAGGGAGAGGAGGCAGCCACAGCGTGAGGGGAGAGGAGTACGAAGAGCTCCAGACCCCTCACTCCCACCAGCAGCAGGACTCCAAGCCACCCTTCTGGCACATAAGGTAAGCTGGCAGGAGGGTGTCTGGCGTATTTATATGTATCTGTGTGTTAATGTGCATGAATATCTGTGTAAGCATGTATGTATGTGTATGTGCATACATCCAAGCAGTCAAACACCAGCACAACATACAAGCACACTCCAGCAATTTAACTCAAATATTACATACAAACACACCCCTGCATTCAAACAAAAAAAAATATACATACACATCCCTTCACTCAAACACAAATACTTCACACAAATGTACATCTGCATTTAAAAGTGAACATTACATTCAGACACACCCCTGCAATCAAACGCAAACATTACATACAAACACACCCCTGTATTAAAACACAATAACTATATACAAGCATCCCTTCAAACACCAACACTGTACATTACACTATAGTGCCAGTAAGTGCCGCAGCGCTGTACAGATATACAACCTAAAATTTTTGACTTGGGGTGCCTTGGAAAAATACTGAAATATTAAAGGGACACTGTAGGCACCCAGGCCACCTCAGCTCATTGAAATGGTCTGGGTGCCAACTCCCATCACCCTTAACCCTGCAAGTGTAATTATTGCCGTTTTTATAAACTGCAATATTTACCTTGCAGGGTTAAGTCCTCCTCTACTGGCTGTCTACCAGACAGCCACTAGAAGGACTTCCGGCTTCTTAGACAACTTTTGGTCGTCCTCACGCTATGCAGCGTCGCCAGAATCCCCATAGGAAAGCAATGAATAATGCTTTCCTATGGGGAGGTGTAATGCGCGTGCGCGGCCATTGCGGGAAGGAGCGTGAGCGGAGCCTTACCCAGTGCTGGATTCAGGTAAGTTTCTGAAAGAGATTTAACCCCTTCAGCGACATGCGATGGGGAGCGGGAGGGGGGCACTGTAGGATCCTCTAATGCCAGGAAAATGGGTTTGTTTTTCTGGCACTGAAGAATCCCTTTTAAGGGCTCCTTGAACCTAAAAAGTTTGGGAACCACTGGTCTACCAGCTAAAAGATCTCTGTGCAGTTAATGGCCGGTTTAATTT